CTGTTTTGCTTTTTAAAAAATGAATCTGAGCCATTATGTTGATGTTAAAGTATTGTTTTAATTTAGAAGACTCATGCAAAAAAAATCCTTGGAACACCTAAAAGAACATGGAAATTATAGATGTTCAGGTAATTCAGCCAAACAGGGACCATGACTGGTCACAAGGAAAAGGCTCTGCTTACTGCCAAATCGATAGATGCACAATAGAGACTGAATTAATACTTGCTGAATAAATGAGCAGAGATAACACTGATGGCACCTCTTGCATCACACCGAATAGTTTTATGATTTCACTGCTTTTGAAGCACGCATTTTGGCACCCCATCCAAATTGCTTTAACATATGCATTGACATTAACAACAAAAAAGCATTAGGAATTCTCTCTCAAGCAGAACAATCCAAACAAGAAATGAGAGAGTTCAGAGGAGTGGTAAGTAACCCCAGTCCACTGAACCTTGTCAATCTGTGGGCCCACATTAAGAAGCACAAGGACAGCAAGAAGCCTTCAGAGGTGGCCAAGGCCATGTATTCCATCAGGGACTGAGTGTTTATTTAGTAGTATTTGCTTACACTTAGAATTTTTAATATTAACCTGTCACAGGATCACCTCAAGAATAAGGTGCAGAATTATAGTATTGATACAAATATATGTTGTATATGTATATGTATATGTGCATGATTAAAACAGCAGTCCCGTATAGTTATGTGCATAAAAAGCCAACCTAAATTGCCACTCTGTCAGGAAATGTCAATTAAATGTCTAACATTATGCCTCAGGCTTCAGCACTCAGGAGCCTTGACAGGCTGTAAAAGGAAGCAAATCCCATAAACAAGGTTCTGTTTGGCCTCTATCACCAGATTCTGGTCTTACGTGAGTTATTATGACAATGAAAGGAAAAGACATTATCCAACGTAAGAAACTGTACATTTTATTCTGTTCAGCTATGTAATGACCTGGGAGGAATTGAGGAATTACCTTTTTAATTATTATCATTTTCTCTCTAATTCTGCTTCTTGACAATTTCAAGCTGACTACAAAGATTAGTTTTTATTATGTGTTACAAAAGTACAACATCACAGAACTTTGTTCATATAAAACATTTTCATACAGGTGAATGAAAATGTATTTAAAATGTAATGTGTTTAAGACAGAACCTAAAATACACAACAAAGGTATGTGAATCTAGGCAACAAATTCAAAGGTACCCTAAACAGTGCCATTGTACAATATATACTTCCAAATTATCAACTGGGCTTGAGGTTGGTGAAAATAGGGCAAAGAAAGCATCATCTATATCTCAGCTGCATGTTTTCCTGTCCTCTGGTTCATTTTTCATGGTATAAACAAAGTTACCTATTTGTGCATAAAAAAAGCAAATCTGAAGAGCAAAGATATATTTAAAATCACAAAGCAAAGGCAAAGAACCCTGGAGTGTGACTCAACAATCTTATGTTTTCATTCAATCTGTAGCTTCTATAACAATAATAATAAACAAAGCTGATTTCGTTTGAGCACTGTGGCAGAAACAGTGCTTCGCATCTGCCACCATTTGTCTTCTGGGAACTCTGGAAGCATCTGTCTTTCCCAGTCTTCCTTGTAGGTATGTTAAGCGTCATATGCCTGAATTCTGACCTATAAAACTTGAGCATCAGTGATCTAAGCCATTCCCAAACTGATCTGTAAGTACATCCCACAAGATCCTCCAGCTCTCTCTTCCTGTGACGTCTGAACAGCCACGTATCTCACAGGATACATAGCTCAAGACACAGAAACAGCCTGGGTCTCTGTGCTACCACCTGTGTGAGAGCCAGAGTAGGAACCACCCATCCTACTAAGATGATGGCATGAGCAAGAAATAAATCTCACCCTATTAAGCCACTATGATTTTCAGGTTTGTTTGTTACCACAGCATAATATAGGAGTAATAAAAGGACTGAATTAGAAACTAAAATTTACCTGTTTTATAAATCAGTGTGCTATTCTTCTATTATACAGAATACTATTGGTAGCAGTAATGGAAGGTTTGTATAAGAACAATAGAAATTCTAAGGTTTTTGACATTATACCATTACATAGGCAATGTAAAGGGTTCCTGGAAGGTAGAATCCAGTCACTATAGACCAGCTACATACTTAAGATGTGTCTGCACTTAACAAATCTAGGAAATAGAAACAGAGATGATCCATTTTACCATGCATTTCAACTGAAATGACTAGGTAGTTATGACCTCATCATCTATACAATGAACGTCAGTGACATTAGGTTTCTAGCAAGAGTGAACTCTGGCCCAGAGATGAAAATTCACACCACCGTAGTTATTATTTCACTTTAAAATCAGACCCAAGACAATTAATGGTGACCACTTTTAAAATCTCCTTTTAGGAGACCTCTGTTCTTGGTTATAGGCACTCAAAAAAGAAAAATAAGATGCTAAGATTTTATAGATAATACACTTTTATATGCACTGATTTTGTCTAAACTTTAAGTACTACTTATGCGGAATTTAGAAAAAGCCCTACTACAGATCTAGAGGGGGGGAACCTACTTAGGGTACCATTTTTATGTGGTATCAAATTTTCTCAATTAAATTGCCCAGCCAATCAAATAATTAGTCCCTTTAGAGGCTTTTGAATGAATATTAATTTAAGTCAATAAAAAGAATCCTTGATTAAATCCAATAGTATTACATCAATTTAAAAGCTCCTTATTGGATGATTATTAGGTTTTACTTCACAAATATCACTGACAGAATTAAAAATATTTGCCATAGAATCAGAAGGCCAAAAATCAGTTCAAAGAAGACTAAAATATTCCTAAAATTTAATTTTTAAATATAGCCTTTCAAAAATCAGACATGTACTTTATGGCAATCTTCATGTCTCTAGACATGAATAAATGAATATAAACCTGCCAATGACCTACTTCAACGGACAAAATTACAACCACCTTAAGTACTTCTAACTTACCTTTATGATGATGCTAACTTGCTGATTTTAGATTCATAAATCAGAAATTATACAACTGCATTTTACAAAATCATTCAGATATATGTCCTAGAGAATAGTAAATATACATGTCTGACAAACAGAAAATGAGTTTGCCCACCCTGAATGTCTTGCCATTGCCAAAAATTCATAATACATATTTTTCACACAGGTTAGAAGAAGTATAAGGAAATGCAGGCCAAGTCTTTAGAGTTAATTATATAAACACTAACTGTGTACATATATATTGAAACAAGGCAGCTTGACAAGTCTTCCTGAACAATAGCCTGCCTCCCACTCTACCCTACCTCCTTGAGAAACAGAATACCTTCTTTCAAATACGTAAACACATTGATTTCTGGAACAAAAGTGCATGGATCCATGAATGAACATTTGTTCAAGTTTATGGATAATGTGAGACGTCAGGAAACCTGCTTTTAAAAAAACTGACATTTTGGGGGGTCTGCCTTCTTATTATTGGCCTTTTTCCTCCTCCTGACCCCCAAATTTATGATGACTAAGGATCCATTGGCCATCATGGACCCTAACTTTCATGCACTAGGAAGGAAGAACAGAAAAGTAACAGCTTGAGTGCTCTATGACACCAGGAAATTACTACGCAATCATTCTAGTTCACATCTACACTACTTTTACATGAAACAGTAATATATTTCTATCTCCTGTAAGCTACTATTGTTTTGGATTTTTCTACTATGGGCAACTAAGGTCATTTTAACTAATATAATCAATCAGTCAAGCCAGTTTATAAAAATAGCCAAGAACAATAAATTGTCTAGCGAATGTGTCTATTGTTTAACTTGATAAATTTGTTTGTATAGACTCCATTTTAACATTTCTTTATCTTATCTAGTCAAATTTGTTTAAATACTAAAATATCTTACAGGAAAATCAGCACTATATAAATTTATTTTAATAATCCTTAATATATTATAAGAGATCTAGAGATGAAAATTTACTGGGGATCCAACTAATTAAAAAATGTCCCTCTAATTCCCTAAAACATAAAAAATTACAATGAGAAATCTCATAGATTTATATTTTCTAAAATAATTTATAGAAGAAAATAAATACTCTGCCATAGAATATTCACATCCATGTGATAATATGAAGAGCATTTTCTAGTTTAAACTTTTTCTATTATTCCTATTTCTAATATTCTGTTTTTGAGAATCTATTGACTCTTACACAGAAACAATGCTTTAAATTTTAACTGCTAAATAAAATTACACTGAAACCTCCTGATGAAGGCATGGGAGTTTTTTAAAAGCCTAAAATTCTATACGATCATGTTTACTCAACCACGTGCATGAAGAGAGAGAGAGAGAGCAAGAGGGTGAGGGAGACAGAGTAAGAAAGAATACAAACCTATATCTACCCAGGTCTTAAATAAAAATGACCCTATTCTAGTGCATATCTTCCCTCTCCTACTACATTAAACAGACTGGTCTAAGAGAGGTTTCATCTTTCAAGCCAGAAATAAAAATAATAAATAGGTATAAGGTGGTAGTATCAAAAATAAATTCTCAGTACAGAAATCTCTTCCTCGTCTCATTTTGATCTCTTTCTCCTTTAAACAGGCTAAAAATCAAAGTGCCGATACTGATTTCTTTTTTATTTTTCATATCAGCAAGCAGCCAATATGTTAAGCACTCAGACTATAGAGTCATAATTTTTTATAGTTATTATGATAAAAAAGTCTCCAAATGTATTCAGAGTGACTCTGTCACCTGCAATATGTATTCATCACAACAGCTTATAGCTATTACCTTTAGCTTATGCCAAAAGTAGAAATACAAAGTTCAACAAAAATAAAAGCTATATTCAATATATTCTGAAGTCAGTTAAAATATTTCCAGTATAAATTATTTTCTAGAAGATTATCATTTTTTGTGATTGATGATTACAGCTAAATTAATTTTCTTTAAACTATAACAACTTAAAATCTGTGGTTATAGAGAAACAAAAATATATTTTAAGAGATGTTCAGGACTTACCACCTCCTCCTCCAAGGAGACTGGCATTTGCTGTTTAAAAGAAAACAAAAGACATTAAATAACATATAAAGATATAATATGCCAGCTAGTTTAATAAAAAGCTAATAATTATCATTTCTCATAAACACATACACTTTCATATAAATAAAGATAACCTTTACAACTGCTTGATAATAACATGAGAATTAAAATATTATGCTATTTTATCTCCTTTTTCTCTTCAAATAACTATTTTCATAATATACTTTCTTCTAATAAAATGAAGTACATATTGTGATCCTTTTATTTTTCATTTTTTATCTAAGTTAATCTACTGGGTTCTCCACTTTATCAAGTAGAGAAAGAACAATGTTATTTAGACAATTTCAATGATTTCAAAGAACAATGTAACAAGAAAGTAATTTTAATTAAACACTTTCAAATAAAGCTATCTCAAAACACTTTATGGTAAGAACTCTTAAATAATAATGGATTTGTTACCTTTAGCATTAATGTTTTATTTAAAGGAAAGAAATAAATTTTATTTTGTCAAGCAATGTTTTGACATTTCTTACCCAATTACCTATTATTCTAGCACAAATATCTATAAAAGCCAAATAACAAACAAAAATGGCTAATTCCATTTTTCCTTTTATTGAATTTATTTGGGCGACAGTAGTAGACAAAATTATGCAGATTTCAGTTGCTAAATTTCACAATACATCATCTGTACACTGTATTGTGTGTCCGCCATCTGAAGTAAACTCTCCATCCATCACAATTTATCCCCCAGACCTTTCTCCACCTTCCTCATGCCCCTCGCCACAGCAATCACCACCCTGTTGCCCACGTCCATTAGTGTTTTCTTTTTTTTTTTTCTTTTTTGCTCAATTACTCCACCCCACTCAGCCAAATGCCATTTGGATTTTTTTCAAGAGGTCAAATTTTCAGAATATTCCACGGCTGGCTTCTGCTGAAGTATTAAGCAACCCTATGCTTATATTTATCTAGTCATTGTAACGGTCAAAAAATAGAAGTCAATATAAGGGCACTGAACTGTATTCTCTGAAGTTCTTATGTATCATAAGCATTATCTCATGCCCTTAAAAGAAAGAAAAAGGAAGGAAGGAAGGAAGGAAGGAAGGAAGGAAGGAAGGAAGGAAGGAAGGAAGGAAGGAAGGAAGGAAGGAAGGAAGGAAGGAAGGGAGGAAGGAAGGGAAGGAAGGAAGAAAACATGTAGGTATATCAAGAAAGTATGTGACAACCAGGCTCCCTTTCTTTGTGGAGAATCCTGAGCTACCAAAACACTAAAGAAGTCACTTATGAAAGAGGAGTGGGGGGCTGTAACTTGAATTTTAGGATGCTGTCCACAGGACCAAGCATTTCCGCAATTAAGAGAACTTAATATCAAAGTGTTAATGATTTCATCAATAAAAAATTAGATCATTTTAAAAGCCAATGCCCATATTATTATTTCAGTGAGATTAAATATGTGATAGTTTATTAATTATTGCAACACTAAAGAGAATAAGTATCATGAAAGATGCCTGGAGAGCAAATGCCTTTGCAGGCTTTTTCAGTATTCACTTCTAGAGTTTTAAATCTTGTTTTGTATTATCTTGCAAGTACAGGGCCATCTCATTTGCCTCTCCTGCGTTACTCTCGGTGCTTTTGTCACAACATGGACTAGCAATCCCATCATTCAACCATAAACAAAACTTACTTCTGATATCATAACTTATCTGCCACCCTATCACCTAAGGTCTCCAAACGCCTCTAACTCATAGCAAGAAAGTATATGGTATTTATAGAGATGATAGGGGGTACTTAATGCCCAGCTCCAAATCAAACTTTTTAATTATTGAATAAATAACTTGTTGAAGGGGCATGGGAAAACATGTTGCAAATTCTACTTTGGTCCCATACCCCTTAGGGCATAGGGAAACTTTATGACCAACCTATGTCTCTTGGCTATTCATTTTCTAAAATCTTAACTACATGCATTTATAAAACTGCATGACATTTAACACTCCTTTTGATTTTTTATTTTTATATTTGAGTGAGAACTACTTCCCTATCTATAGGTTTTCTGGATCCCTGAAACTCCATGTTATCCTCCAATTTTCAAATGTTTCATTTATAAAGAAAAAGGTATTTCCAATAACAAACAATGACAATCACAAATAGTAGCTTTTCACTCAAAAATATCCTATTCAGAAGTACAATATAGCCTACTTTCACCCAATATTGTGCTTGATGAAGGTGGCGGCTGCCTGTTTTGAAAGCATAGCCGAAGGCCCATCTGTTTAATCGGGCACTTATCCAATATATGTGGGTGGATGAGTGGGCGTAGGTGTAGGAACTAGAAGTCCAGTCTGGAGAACCATCAAGCCAATTTATGTCAGATGTGTGCTCATGTTTAGAGAAGCATATCAGGTCATACATCAACCTCAACATAGAACTATTTTATAAAATTGTGGCATTCTACATAATTTCAATTGCATTATCATTCATGTAATAGAATCTTAAGCTAAGCTGCTTAAATGTATTCAAATCAATTTTAATAACTGTAATGGATAATGCTTTTTCTAAACTACTCATCAAATTTAAGACTATTTTATTAATTTCTGTTTTCTAAATATTAGAAATTAAATATTTTCTTTATTAGAAAAAATATCAAGGCAATTTTCTTCAATAAAAATAGGGAAATAAAAGTGAAACTTTATTAAGATTTCTAAGATTACTCTCTAAAAAGCACACTATACACAATATAACTGATTCTCAACATTTACTGGTCTGGTGGATTAATATTATTTCTTCTTTTTACAAAAGTTAAAGTGACTTTTGTACATCTAAAATTAATAATCACTTAATTTCTACCTGCTTATCTCCAATAAATTGAGGTATATCCCAATTAGACATAAAGCCCCTAAAGATAAGGTCTGCTTTTAATAGTAAGGCCTGCATCTAATGAAATCTCAATACATATTTTCTCATGAGATAATACACAGGTTTAGTCCAATTTGTTTTTTTTAATTTATTAATTTTTAATTTAAATTTAAATTAATTAAATTTATTTATTAATGTTTTCAAGGAGGGAGGGAAGCAGAAGGGAGGGAGAAAGGAAGGGAGGAGAAAGATAGACAGAAACAGATAGAAACACTGACTATGTGGCTTCACTTTATGCATTTTTTTCATTGCTTCTTGTCTGTGCTCTGGCCAAAGATGAGAACCGTGACCTTGGTGAATGGGATGACACCCTAACCAACTGAGCTGCCTGTCTAGCACCTCCAGTTTCTTTATTGACACAGAAGAGGTCTTGTTTTGTTGTTGTTGTTTGTTTTTTCACTAAAGTGGGTGGAAAGAGCAAACTCTTGTCCTTTTTCTTCCTGAAAAATTAAGGGCTATTAAACAAACCCAAAGTATATTTGGAAATACTTAGTGATTAAAAATGTATGAAATGTATTTGTCTCTAAGTCTCTTGCTAGAGAAAATTTGGGCATGTCTCAAGTTATCCCTAGAGTCTCACAGAAAAGGAAGAAGAGAAAGGTAACAAAGAAAACTTGAAGTTTATGAGCATGATGCCACTGCTTCTAAAAGAACATTTTAAATTATCTTCTCTTAACATGTTTACTAACAAATCTACTTGCATGCATATTTTCCTAACTAAAATGCCCCTTCAATTACTAGAGGAGGCAGAGGAAAAAGTCACGCTGTACTAGTTGGCTCAAAGACTGAGTCAATGAGAAACTAAAATGAGCCAGTCCCAGTTAACAACTCTGTGCATTGCACTTTTCCCTCCACCCCCAGTAATAATCCAAATGACTCAATGGTACTATTGTTTATAAAACAAAAACAACACTAGATATAAAATAGGAGAAGGAGTTACCTACATCTGATTTCAAAATGACAAGTATAGAAAATGTACTTATAATACTCTAAGTGAAAGGTCAATTATTTAAAGTTTTAATTATTTAAAATTTATGAAAATTTGTTTTTTCTCATATGAACTCAGTCTGAAAATTTTTAATTAAAATTAACAAATTTCTATAAGAGTTAATATTTATTTTGAAATTATCAAGACCAAAAAACTGAATATAATGTAGAAATCATTTTCTTGTGAAAATTAGCCTAAATAAATTGGCCATGGTAGTTGCAATAGTGTTGTTATTTTACATTTGTCCCAAAGTACAAATAGTATATTACACTACCTCATCCTATAAAAAAATTTCTTAAAGAACCTCTGTTTGTGGTGGGGGACGGTAGTATAACTTTTTAAGAATATAATTATAGCCCTGACTGGTGTGGCTTAGTGGATTGGGCATCATCCTACAAACTGACAGGCCACCAAATTGATGACCAGTGAGGGTACATGCCTGGGCTGCGGTCCAGGTCCCCAGGTGGGGGCATGTGGGAGGGAACCTACTGATGTTTCTCTTCTACATTGATATTTCTTTCTCCGTCCCTTCCCCTCTCTCTAAAAAATAAACAAATAAAATCTTTTTAAATAATATAATTATAATTAACTATGGATCGAGCTATAAAAATGAAATCAGTACAAGTAATCTTCTATTACTGGAAGTTCATAGGTGGAATATATGACATAACATTAGAAATGCACAGCAAAGCTATAACTTATCGGACAACCACAGCCCTTCTCCTCTAAAATCTCAAAATAATTTTTAGTCCATACAGGGAAATGAAAAAAATAGTGAATAAAGAGCCAGGTAATCTCTGCTTTAATTCTGCCCCAGTTACTAAATAGCCAGATAATGCGAGCAAGGCATAGCCAACTATCCTACCTGCTACCATCAGGAAATTTAGAATCAATCAGGTATGAAAACAGGTTTCAAGCAATTCTAAATCATAATTAGAAGAGATTGCACCTCTGGTGCGAGAGAGATTCAGAGGCTAAATCAAGGCTCAATGGAAAAGAGAACTATGATCAATTAATGACGTCAGTCAGAGTCAGAGTGAGACAGGGAGAACCCAACTGGCGGCACACGAGCCACATGCCGGGGGCCATTGTATCAGACGTCTTCTCTAGATTT